CACTCCCCCGCCACAGCAAGGCCTCGAGTAGAGTGTCTGCCTGGCCTTTTCCGTTCCTAGATTTTTATTTTTGTCTTTGTTTTTTCCCAAGTACCATAGAGGACCGCATATATTATATGCCCTCCGCCTGCCTCCGCCGGTCCTGCCGGCCCTACGGGTCCTGCGGCACAGGCCCTGCGCCCCTAAAGAAGTCAGGATAATCCCGTGTCTGTCTCTCTCGCACCCGAAGCGCCGCGAGCCCCGAAGCGTCCAGCTCTGGAGGCGGGCTCCGGACTCGAAGGAAAAAGACCAACGCCCTTCTCACAACTGAAGCACCTGACTCCTTGACACAAAGTTTGCACCATGTTACATCTGCAGTTTGCCATGTTGGATTAACGATATTGCTTCTATGGCCATCCTTGATTTGGTCATATTGTAGTTCTGGGACGAATTTAAAGTGAGTTCTGTAATTTTAAGGACAACAAATGTCACCTTAAAACAGGGACACTATCGATTTTGTTCTGTATCGGAAACTTCGAGGAGGTGCATCACTTGGACAGGTCAGTGAAGGCTGTTCCAGCCAGTCACTTTTCCAGCCACATCTAGTTAATCCCCAGTCACCCCTCGTCAATGGAAAAATGACTCCCAATCAAGAAAAGTAAAGCGAAATGTCACCGCCCCGAAATAATTTGACACCCGCCAACGGTGATAAACATCAGTGCTTTGGCACGGAAACCCCTGTGGAAACCTCCTCCGGATTTTGTAGTTATACCACAGCTTCACGCTTCAGTTCTCCAGCCCTCCTCCGGCTCTCCAGCCCTCCGCAGCATCGCAGTCCAGGCCTCCACACCTCAGCCCACAATATGATTGCACATTGTCTCCTCCTCCAACTTTGTCCGTCGATAATGACTTGGTCCCCTTTCCCCCCGGTTTACCCTGGCGTGCCACAGACAGACAGACAGCCTGGCCGCGTCCCGGCCGCAGTCCGCGGGGCAGAGGCAGGGTTAGTGGAGGTAGGTCCGGGAGTGGTTTGTCATTAGACATTCTACCTCGTTACGCTCCACCCCCGCCCCGCCCCGCCCCGCCACTCTCCACCATGCAACGCAGTGTCTGCCCGAGAGCTACTGCCGCCAGTGGGAGCCTCACAAGCTCGCCCGCCTTGGACCCTGAATGGGAATCGAACGTTTACTTGGGACGTAATCCCAGCGGTGAGGTTTACTACGGGCCCAAACCGCTACATTGTGAGCCCCCCTCCCTCCCGCTCTCCGGATTAGTGAGGAAACAGCCCCAAAAGTGTTACATCCTCGGCAGGCGCGTCTTGTGGCCGTGCGAGGCTGCGAGGCTCGGCGCGAGGCGGGCGCAGCGCCCCGGGCCGCCTCAGAAGCTCCGTCACAGCACGCTTAATGAAGCAGGACATTTAGTTGGCTTAGCGGCATCACTCCGGAAGTGACCCAAAAAGTTACATTCTGCGTTTAATATGCCCGCCGCATTGAGGATCATCCAGAAAGTACGTACGCGATTCGCCATTACTAGCCTGCCAAGGTGAGCCTAGCAAGCTCGTGTAGCGCCTGGTGAATAGGCAACAATGTGTATGCAGTGCACGCGTGTGCTACGGGATGGCCTACCCCGAGTCTCGCAGGCGCCGAGGCCCCGTAGAAAGCCGCATCTGAGAAAAGCGGACGTACTTTCTTGTCGAACTTTTCGTTAACGCAAACAGGTTTACCGCTCGCGGCCTGTTTTTTCGTGTGGAATAGAGAAAACGAATTGCTACCCAAGTTAGTGTGTCTTGTGTGGTTTTTGTGTTGTTTTGGACGCGCCCCCGCTGTGGAGGCGCTAAAGCAGAGCCGCCTCGTAAAGCGCGTCCCGTTAGCCGCGCATGACGCTGATCGGAGCCGCTGGCCGTTAACAGTTTGTTTCTCTGTCGCCGGGACTGACTGCCGCGCCCGTCGCCTTCAAAATGTTGCAAATGCGAGTGGAGGGGGTTCGGCTCGACCCGCCCTCTAGGCTCACGGCGGCGGAGGGGATTCCTGGAGGCTGCTCGGCACACATTCCAGCGGTAGTTGTGGAGCCTCCAGCC